CAAAGAATAATCGAATGATGATATAATCATTAAAAGTAATGATATTACCTTCAATGATATACAAAGGATTACTGTTTCGTATTTCACATTACTTACACACATACGCACACACACGTACAAAGATTATTGTTCGTTTATATCGTAACGTGTAAAATGTAAAAAAAATCATCATAGGAGGTACAAGATATGTACCACAGTAATTTAATTTTAGTAATAAATTCTCTCGTAATTTAACCAGAATTTGATTTTCTCGTAAAAATTTTTTTTAACAAATTTAAAACTATTACAGGCTTTCTGCCAAGATCGATTACAAATTCATCAGAACATGCAGCAACGTAAAAAGTATGAAACATTCTTTTTATATTTCCTATCTATGATTTATAGCTAGTATATTGTGAAGAACAGCCGAAAGAATAGAAATAATTTAGACAATTATTTAATAAATGTGTATCTATTTACGCGTAAAGAATCTTTTCTTGGACTCTTACCTACGTCTTCAAAGTCACATTACATTATTTTACAATAATTATATATATATGTATATATTTATATATGTATATGTCACTCTCTGTCTCCTTATAAGGTTTTACGTAGCGAAGGTGAACGGAGCATAACACAAAAGCACGCACAAGTCATATATATAAATCGTGAGAAACGTTCGATAAGAAAGATCACCAGAAAATAATCGCTGAAAAACAGTGAACAATAGCAATTCTCGCGCGTTCTCTTCTCGGTTATCTTCACGAAAATATGTATGAGCGAGCGGTCACTCATCTCTGTTAGTTATTATATTTTATTTGTTAGCTATTACACTGTTCGACAAAAAAAAATACCAAAACGGAATTAATCATTTTTTTTTTATGTTTTGAACGTTGAGTACAAATCCGGCTTCCAAATAATTCCATCATACTGTAATTTTAACAAATTTACATATAAAGTTGCAAATAATAGCGTAAAGCTATTTTCACATATTTTGTCGTAGCATAACTACGATATGTAACGTAGTTACATAATATATTACAGAAGTTTGATTGCAATCAAAATTAAGTATATTGTTAGGACTCTCAAAGTTCGAAAGAATTTTTAGGTCGGTATTTCATAGTCAATTCTTGTATTTTAATATAAAGACCGTTTTAAGTATAATATAATCTTAGGATATCATGACTCCTCCCCCTCCCCCGCAATTATTACCGTATTAACATCTTAAGATATTACTTAATTTATTCGATGGCGCAATATCCTAAAGTTAAGACAAGGCTTACCTCTCGTGAGGTTTTTATAACAAAATGAATTCTTTTTCCATAATTAGGTTGTTAGCCTAATATTCAACTTCCAGCTTGGGGGGGTCCATATCCAATGATATCTGGAACTTACAATTTAACGCCGGCTCCGAACGGCGGTGATGATCATAGATTTCTTAACCACCAGGTGGAGCCATTTTCGACTCTTTAAACGCAAAAAGTCGCGTATGTGGGCGCAGATGGAATTGAACTCGGATTTATAAATCGTGAGTCAATCGCACCGAGCAGCGCGAACCACTCAACGCCTCAAGATATTATTATACTCAAAGTGATTTTAAAATAAAACCTGACATTCATAATTAATTCTTATAGCCGCGTTCTACAATAAGTCGCAAAAGTTAGAAGTCAGAAGCTATATAGTTATAAGCAAGCGTCTGTAGTACATCATAAAGCCCATTCTACAATGGGTAGTAGCAGTAGTGGATTAAGGCGTAGAAATCGATATGATAGTTAATTATCCTCCTCACATTCGACTATGATTTGTTGATTTCTTATACGCCTACTTCTTAATCCACTACTGCTATTGCCCATTATAGAATTGGCTTATGGCAATCATAAGTTAGTAGTCTGATTGAGTGAAGATGGCCAAATTCCATCTCTTCCGATTTACTTAGAACTTATGATTACGTTATGACTGATCAATCAAAAAGCAATGTGTCGTAACGAGAGAAC